TTTAATTTGCTGTACATTTGATACAAACGAGAAACATTTGTGTCATTTCAGATGAGTTGATATACAGATTTTTGTGAATCGCTTCATTCTTTATAAACGATCAAGTGATTCAGCGAGGGTGTGGACAATTTGGATGCATTCTAAATCCCTGTAAACTGCCACGTATATGGGACAATCGCGTGTGTTGGGAGGCGATAGGGTTCTTCGTCGTTGTACGGCAAATAAATGGTACCCAGGGAACACTGAATAAAACGACAAAGCCACCGACGTCATTGAAGTTGCTTGCTTTCAACATTGATAAATTGTAACAGAACTATTGATAAATATAAATATTGCTAACACTTTTGCTGAAGAAGGCTGACTCAAGAAAGAGATAAAATCCGAGACTCCAATAATTGAATTGAATGAGAGTACCAATTTTAGGACTCAGCCAAACTACACTCCGTTAAAAAAAAAAACGTCACATTTAAGATTTATCATTGAATCTAGCATTTTAGTTTATCCACATGTTTACTTTCCATGGTAAACCACTGCCCATACTGAAATGTGGTAGATGAACCAAATGCGTCAGAGAATTCACTCCGTCGTACTTCATTAAAAAGTCGTATAATTTGTATTACTGACGAGCAGACAAGTAAAAGTGGGTATCCAAATTTGCATAAAAGACTTCTTCAATCCAGTGATGAGAGTTAAACCATTGACGTAAAGAGTCCATCAGATACGAGGCCACGTGGACCTGGACCGTTTAGCAGTTTACACTCCCTCTGTCAATCGGCAACGATCCTATGAGATTTCGTACAGGTTAATTATTCATGTATGTATGTATCGAGCACATGGAATTAACGATGTTGGATTACCTGTTATCTCGACATCAGAGAGGATGATCGTCTTCTACTTCTCGTGATAAGAGTGTCTTATTTCCGTGCATGATCGTCATCCCCAAATGCGTCATTACTACCGCAAGCTCGTGTACATAGGATCATTCCCACCATTCCCATCATTCCCTCGGCGGGAGTATGTAATTGACAGTACATGTCCCGACGTCATAAGTCCTGCAATCTGACGTAGTTATATGAATAGCCCTTTCACGGTCATTACAAAGTGCTTTTTAGTGCAAGATATACATACATATATTTATAGTTAATTCGTGGCTAAACTTGAGATTACGGGATATATATTAATATATATTTAGGCTTTCTCTATTTTAGCTGCGACTTACATCAATGTCAAGGGCGCATCAATGTGATAAAATTGGCCGTAATGCATTGAATCATGCTGAAACGAGAAATTCTCAAAATAGTTTTTGACAAAGCTGATCTTATCGAGTTTATTGATAGCTTCTAAGAATACTGTAATGAGTTGTTGCTCTGATCTCACGGTTTAATTATTAAGCTGTATATCGCCGGATATGCAGATTAGTTGTGGATATACCTACATGAATTGCGAAAGTAATGAAATCTACAGCGTGTACATAAAATGTTTAAGATAATAATTCAACACGTGACTGTTAACGTGATTAAACAAGAACGCTCATATATCAAAATGACATATATTACATATGCATATTTTTGACTTAATTTTTTTAGATTTGGTAGAAGTGACGGAGGTGCTAATAACATTCACCAGCAAACACAGAAAAACCACAGAAGCAATATTTGGGACTATTTGTCGGTAAGCGGTGTTCATGTTCTCTATTGTCGTGACGTCTTTTTAGTAGTACAAATTTGGGTATTTTGAAACGCATTTTCAGGCAATCCATTGACAAACACGCGTCCCTTCTGAACAGACATGCACCACTACGATAAAGACATTGTGAAATTCTTTTGTTTTGGGGGAGAAACAAATACTGAAAAAAAGGTTTTTACAAGATAATTTATATTTAGAATAATTCATAACAAAATGTATTCCCCATGCACCCATAAAAAAAATTTGTGATTACCGATTACACAACAATATTACAGAAAAAAAGATAATTTGCTATATTCTCTATATTTTTTACTTTTATTTGTCTTGAATTATGACTGAAATGAGCTGAATGAAATTATAGACAAGGTTGTGTGTTCAAAAACTCACGTATAAACAATAATTTTAATAAATAAAATTATATTTGTTAAAATATACTGTATTTTCGGCATGAACGAAAGAATTTCACAATGTCGAAAACGGAAAGTCTTTATCGTAGTGTTATGCGTAAATTGTCAATTAATTGCAAATTGTTAACGTGGACGTGAACAAATAATTCGTTGATGACGTATTTATAAAACAGAACACGTTTAGTGTTACGTGTTGCATAAAGACTTTACCTGACGTTATACATTACATTCATAAGTATTTCCGTCCTTCACGACCGCAATAAAATTGCAACACTATCGGATTAAATGCATTTATTATTATTTATATGTAAAAATATTTTGATGAAAGTATGTTCACGTCATAGGTCGATATATATTATGTAGCACTCTATGCAATATGTACCGATAGACAATTTGTGTTAGTTATCTCGGGTAACGCTTTCTTATTGGCTGTCCAGTCACATCATCTAGCCAATCAAAATGTGTGTTTGTGCGTCTTCGACAAAAGATAGATGCTATCAGATCATATCCGGTCTTCAATCTAAAGGCGGGGCAACGTATGTAATCATTCATAAGAAAAGAGCAACTGAGTTATCTATGCGAGGTGTTATGCAATGAATGTTCCATTCCACGTGCTTTTCAATCAGACGTATTGCTAACCAATGACGTCACGGACTGCAGTAAATTATGTAAAAATTAAATTGTGTAATCTGAAGTAAGCGAGATTTAAAAAAAAAAACGCCTGAAAATAAGCATTGAAACTATCAAAAAAGGTCGCGAAAATCACTAATCGTCTTTTTCACAAACTTTTAGAATTTCTAGATATGTACATTTGCTATATAAACTCCCGTAACTGTTGTTAGTGGTCTCATGGCGCAATCGGAGCGTACGGCGCTAATCGACATCTATATATTTGCTTTAAATTATGTCGATTGAGACGATTTTACATATACTACCTAACAAGAAACTGCACGAATAAACCACGCAATACGGGAATACCATTCACAGGTGCGAATTGTGTGCTAGTTCCAGGGCCCATTTCAATTTAACCACCGTTACAAATGTAACATTTCAGATGCCGTGTCACATTTACACATAATATTTTGGACAGTAAAGTTATTTCTGTATCTCAGAATTACCTATAAAAATCAAGGTGGTATAATATAATAGAAATAATCAACACCGTAGACGGAGTATACCACTCGATTTTGACCACTTCACTTCATATGCACATTCGTTATCGCTCGTGTGCGCATGTTATGAAACAGGTTCAAATCTCGTGGTATAATTGCCTCTGGCGGGTTGTTACATTCGTTGTATTTGAAGCATGGGACCAGAATGAGACACGACGCTTCAACTTTTGCACTATAATTCATAATGTTACTGCTTTTTTTTTCAGAAGAAACTGGCCCTCGAATGAATTAGATCCACGAAGTCAGATGAAGACAAATCTTGTTTGTTTTTAAATCGTATTTATTCACTTTTTTTGTATTAATTTATTGACAGCGATATTTTTATTATCAACATATCATTATTATTAGTTTTATCCCAAATCGTTGAATGTTGATTGCTATAATGTATCTTCAATTTGCGTCATGTCTTTTGGTAGACATACTGAAATAATGTCCATATGTAAAGAACTTGTATTGTACTAGTATTTTTTTTTACGTAAAATATATACACATATTTTTCACCGCGTATTTCAAGTTTACATTCGTGCAATTTACTTTGGGAAATATTAATCTACTTAACGCCTATACTTGAATGGTGTATGTCAAGGGCACACGTAGTCTGCAATAGTTAGTCACTGTTGTTTGAATTTTTACAGACATTATTGACCGAAACACGCAACTCATTATGTATCGGTTGATGAGTATACGTAAATACGGTTCAGGTTTATTTATGTTTATTATTTTCATTGCCAGTGAATGACATTGTTTTCTAACAGTGATATATCATCGGCACAAGGTGAGACGATTAGACGAGTGACCGACGATCACGGGTGCCACATCGTAAAAAGTTCATGTAATATGTTATTGATACGTTATGAGAACCATTGTATCTATTTCCGATGCAATCATCTTATGGGCTAGGCGCGACTTCTGTGGCTGGAAGTCGTACGGCGAAAGCCGCATTTAATCCACAATAGTTTTATCATATGCCTTAGTAAGTATAATTAGAAATAAATGTAGTTGATTCGAGCTACTGGTGTCTCATGTATTTAAATTATAACTCTCTTTTGTTACTTCTGTCAACTCTCGCTTAGCAGAGAATTTGTATGGTGAGCTCACCGAATAAATAAAAACGGATTGCTGCCGATGGTGGCGCGCTTGTAGTCCCGAAATTAGTCTGTCATTGGCAAAATTTTAACCTCAGACTGAGGGATTACATGCTTGTTTTTGTTTTTTCAAATACACTATATTAATCATGGTCTAGTAGTTTATTTGTTTATATATTTTATATAAAAACTTGGTATGAAGTCAAAACTGTTTAATAGCCATGGGAACGTTGCAGAACACAACAACTTAGATCCGGTCTTGTGTACAGTGGCGAGTAGAAGCCGTATCGGAGATTTCTTGACGGAATCTTCAGCGTGAAAAAATGTGGAAATACGATTATAAGCAGTGTAATTTTATCGAAACGATTCGAATAAAGAAAAGAAAACAAAGCAAAGCAAAATAAACGTGTCTGCTTAAAAATGCTCAATACATCATGATTCACACAAAATACTTGCGACTTTTCTCATTTTTGACACCGTGGGAGATTATTATATTTTATCAATTAGCAATATCAAAAATGAAACGACCCCTGACATCGTTTGTAGGTTAATCATATGTTTACATTACGCAATTAATACAGAGTCTCAACGAGATATGAAACATGACCCTTTCATAATAAAAACATGTAAAGAACAATATTTTCCCCAAATCACCGACCTTGTTAAAGTGATGTTCAGATTGTTATTGTTTGCGTCACATTTATACGTGCACTTGAACTTTTGACGAAATTATTGTGGACACACGATATACATAATGGGAAGAAAAAATCCCAACAATATTAAAGTATTATGTTAATGCGATTATGTTGAAGTTCAGTCGATACTTTGCGAATGGTAAGCCAACATCCGCTGTTCCAACATTCGTTCACCGCAAAGTAAACACCAAAAGTATAATTTAACTCTGCGTGGAAGATTTGTAGAATAAACCATTTGGGGAGTTCCGTTGCGTATGATGTGCTGTCTGATTACGTCAGCAAGTTGTAGCCTCGTTCGAAGTTCCATCGCGCACTGTCACCATCTCGAGCACACAAACAAATTTAGCCAAATGAATGCAATAGGCGCCGAATGATAATAGTCACACATGAGTTGATCGGGGTTCAAGATTGCGCCATAGAGGACTTGGACGCCATCTCATCAAAATGAATCTAAACAAACATGCTCACTAAAACTATTTTCAGTCCATTGGTGATTACCTAATTATTGAATAACATTTTTGAAAGTGTTGTATCACGATAAGCTTCCTCACTTATCATAATTTGTGAAACAATCCAAACAAAATAGCGCCGCCCATGGACCAGTGTACACAATTTTCAAGCTTCTTTCCCGTATTCTGCCCTATGTATACATACTTACTCTAGACTAGTTTTGATAACAAATCAGACAACGTGTAAGTAGGAGATTAAGTACTAGTATCTCGAGGTTTACGTTGATATCATAGCAACTGTAACACATGTTTTTTAAATGTTTTATGCAATTTTGATATCGCTACCCTTCAAAACACCCGGTTACATACTAAAAAGCAGTCAAAGAAGTGAATTGCAAGGAGTTCTCTGAAATGTTCGATTATATAGTGTCCGTTTCCGCTGTCGTGCTCACTCTCTGGCACTGAATTACTCAGTTGCAATGTCTCGCGAGATTTCCAGTGACCCGCGATAAGAATATCGCGCAATGGACAGTTGCTTCGATCGACCATCTTATAGTAAATTGTATTATATCGTATCTTGTTGGATTCGTTACATCAACATAGTTTTTGTTTCATTTATTGGGGCCGACATAGTCCATAACAGCCTTATATATACATGTATATATAATATATATATAAAACTCAAAACTGATATATTTGTTTTCTGTTGCCCTGAAATGGATATAATTTGCAAACAATTAAAATTAAATAATCGAGTAAAATAAAAAAAAAAAGGTTCCGAGTTGTAGCCACGACCCCATCCTATATTTTTATCGACTGTTTCAGGCTTTATGATATCTCCCGGAGTAGAACTACGCCACCAAACGTCAAAGCGTACTTTGAAACATGAAAACAAAAATATTTAAATGTACAAAACGCTTTGGTATTCTTCTATTTCTCTTTCCAAAGATGATTTTCACATTGATTTAATATGTATCAAACAGAATGCAAACTCAAAATATGCTATTGTAAGCCACGATGACAGGTCGTGTAATTAATATACCGACGAGAAATGGGTCCGAACGTCTGCATAAATGAATCAAGTTGTTACCGCAGCGTAATATTTTGTCGTCCAACATTATTTAAAAATAGTTTATTTTAGATAAATAAAAGACAAAAGACAATATTTTGGATCTTGAGGCGTTATACAGAACTGCGCCACAGTCCCACAGTAACGTGTTTACATTGTGCAGCAATGTACCCTGGTGAAGTCACTAGGATACTTCTTGTATGCAAATGACGACTCACGAGGAGCCTCGTCGTGAAATGCAATAAATGTCTGCAACTTTGAGTTACCCTAAAAAGAGCCTGGATGTAATCTTCCAGACTTCAGCTGAATTTTTAATTTCGACCCCGGATTGCGTATAGTATTTTCAATGGCAATCATATATTAAAACAGAATTAAATATAAACGAAGCCAAAGAAAGTGTAATTCTAAACGCGTGGTAAAGAATACGTAACTAATTCTCACAGGATTAATATGTTTGTTTTTCAAGCGATCTGTCAATAGTGGTCGGGAATGGTCCACATTTTGTTAAATGATATATTACGAGGACGTGTTATGAGTGGCTATGTGTGATGCTGCCATGATCAACAGTTTCTG